GTCTCCCTGTGACCTGCTGAGGTCTACACTGCAGAGGGAGGTCCTCACACCTGGGAGGTCTGAGTCTCTCCTGTGACCTGCTGAGGTCTTCAACACGCCTCCTCCACCAACCCAGGAATGAAGCTGGTCATCAAGTAGCCATTTGATGCAAAGGACCAAAGTGTCTTCCCCACTGTGCTGAGCCCACACCTGTGGACTGAAGGCCTCTATTTCGTCACCACCACACTGGGTGGTTGCACATGTCATGAGTGCCTCTCTGCCCCACCTGGCAGGTGCCTGCGGACTTGGGAAGGCACCTCATGTCACCCTGTTAGGCCTGGAGTCCTCAGTGTCACTGTGAGGTAGCCAGGTGGGAGACGCAGTGGACCTAGATCTGGATACACAGACGATGCGGACACAGGACACACACTATGCGTTTCCTTTTCCTTCCTCGGAGGATCCACCCAATCTCCTCCTTCAGTCTGAACCCTAAATATCAACCAACTCCAATCTCATGGCGACCAGCACGATAGCTCTGAAATCTCCCAGAGAAACTTCCTCAGGATTCTATCACTCACAAGAGAACGAAATGTATTTCCATCAGGAGCAGGATGGGAGGGAACAGGGAAGGCCACTGGGGCAGATGCTTCACGTGTCACTTTTTGCTGAGAGTGGGTGCTCCTTGGCCCAAATCTCCAGCTTCCACTGCTCCCCACAGGGGCTGGGCCCGCCACCCAGTGCGTGTGCAGCTGAGCACACAGGCACCGTCAGAACAGAGCCCCATGAGAGGTGCTTGGGAGGGGTAGGACTGCCGAGGCCCCGCAAGCCCTGGGTGGCTGCTGTGGTGAGGGCCCTCAGACCGTCTGTCAGCTGAGGCAGAGGACAGACGTCCCTAGGTGCTGTGACCCAGCCGAAGGTCGTCTCCGGCCTCAACAGTTCTGGGAAAGCTGGAGTGGGGACCACACTCACGTGGCCTAGTGTTTTCCTAGGGCTGCAGCCTTCTGGTCCAGATGTAGACCCTGGTTTGCAAAGCACAAGCGCTTTCCTGCTGTTGGCTGCAGTTTGCTGAGCGAGGGCTTCCAGGATGAAGCACCTTCATTGGAAAATCAGAGAAGTTCAGTCGTGGCCTCTTCTCCTTCTACAGAAGGACTGAAGGGCCCTGTGCATGACATCCAGGTCTGGGGTGCAGAATTTCAAGCCCCTCTCACAGTGAAAGGGATTGTGCCAAGCTGGTCTGTGGGAGATCTGCAGAGACCTGGCCCGTCCCGCCGACCGGCCTTCGTGGTGGAGACTCGGTGCAGTGCAGTGCTCATGGAGATGTCTCCTGCTCCGCTGCCCTTCTCTCTCCTCGCCACCCCAGGGCCGGCCTGCTGTTCCTTCCTCGTCACACCTGTCCCTCCCACAGCAGCCCAGCTGTCTGCATGTGCCAAACAGCCCTGCGGGGAGGCACCATGGCGCGCACTTCACAAAAGACCACGAGGCAAGAGCCCATTTCCAGCACCGTCGACTGGGGGACTCTCGGGGTTCACTCTTCCCTCTGGGGTCTTAGCTGAACCCTCTGTCAGTTAGGGTTGGTTGGATCACGTGGAGTGTCGAACTGGCCCCCAGTCCCCAAGCCAAGGGGACTCACTGCCTCCTCTGTCGTTTCTGGCTAGCACCCTCCTCGAGAGTCTCCGCCCTGGCCTCCTCCCTGCCGGTCTCCTGGGTCCTCCTCCCTCCTGGTCACTCGCTCTTCTTGGAGGCCCGCTCCCGACCTGCTCAGGAACTGTTTGTTCTCTCGTTCACTGGAAGCCCTACAAGCCCTACCCAATGGCCCTTGACCTCTTTTTGACACCGGTTCTTCGGCAGTCTGCTAAGAGCTATTGATTCCTCCCATGACCCAAAGCAAAAGCATGCTCACAGACCCAAGTCCACCTGAAGTGCACCCAGCACCTCGCTCCCTGGAGCCCAGCCAGCCTCCTCTCACCCAGCTGTTCCATGCAGGGACATAGAGCCACATCAGCACCGCCCAGGGCTGGGAGAAACCTCGATCCCCAGCCCCGGGGCAGACTGTTTCCGCAGCTCTCCTGAGCACTTGGCTGTGAAAGCTCTCTCTGCACGCTCAGCACCAACGGGCCTCTGCGCAAGTGTCCGGAAGGGACTTCTCTCCCAGGACACCAGGCTACACCTCATCTGCCTCCTTGGCTATTGCTCTGCCCCCAGGGTCTTCCAGCTCGGCCCGTTCACGATTCAAATCCAACTCTCCCGAGGAAATCTGTACTTGCCTCCGTCCGGCCGGGTTACCTGTGCAGCCCTGGCCCTCGCCCACTAGGCCTCCATCCGTGGCTGTGGGACGTGAATGCAGCTTTGACCTTCGACCTTCCGGGTCGCAGTGCAGATTGTGCTAAACTGACACCCACGTCCCTGCCGGTCCTGTCCTTCTCCGTCACGAGGGCGTCGTGACGTCCCTGCCATGTCCCTGCTCCCTCTTCCTCCTGTTCTCACACACAGCTGATGACTTGGACCTCGGGCCTTCCTTCTTCCTGGAAGGTCCTCCTGAACTGCTTCATCTTTTCCTTTCTTCCAGTTTCCTCCCTTTGTGCTTCCTCCCTGTCCTATTTATAAGTAATTAAAAAAAAAAAAAGATGACCCTGATTGATTCATGTAAGTGGCAAAAGTGACATTAAGGAAAACCCGAATTTCAAGGTGGCATTAGACGGCAGTGGCCCTGCGTGGATGTGCCCCTTCCCTCCTCCAGTGTGACTCTTTTCCTGCATCAACAATGAAACAAGCACTTTGTTGTGGAATTCTTTCTCTCTCTGCTGGTATCACAGTGGTGCAGTTTGATCTCTATAGCAGAGACTTGGAGTTTCTGCTCTAGGTTAAACTGTGCAGGCCTCCAGGGGCCACCTTACACGATGTTTTACCTTTGTGGATGCACTTAAAAAGTAAATACGACTTTGCACAAATTTTCTTTATCTGCCATTGTTCAGGGGCTGAGTATAAATCACATGTAAGCTGTGCTCCATGTGTGACCGATTCACCTCCCCTCACCAAATTGTGGTTTGTTTTCTAATTACACAAGACCACCACATTTTAGTTCAAGACCTCATCTAAAATGTGGGGTTTGGCGCTTACCTCCCCAGCAGGGGTGGGGGTGAACTTGAGCTGCGCTGAGTCTCCATTTGAGCCTGAAAGAGGTCTTGGTGCAAGTGGGCAGAGACCCCCAACCAGGCCCGGAACGCTGCAGGGAGAACACTGAGGGGCAGACTAGCAAACGAAAGTGACTTGGGATTGTGGTGTTTATTGGCATCTGCCATTAAAGCCTGGAATTCAAAGGAATCAGCTGTGGGCTTCCATTTCTCTTGTGTGGCCACCACCAAGCTTTGCAGGAAACACCCAGTGAAATGTGCTGGGTTGGGTTATGGGGACCCTCAGGGGCAGCACATGACAGCTAAGAATCTAAGTCCACATTAGAGCTATTTAACTTCCAAGCCATTGAAACCAACCTGTGCATGGAAACACCGGTATGTCGATAGAGACTTATATGGGTTATTTAAAGGTCTTTGTGTTTTGATTGTGCAAAGTCAGCTTTGGCATTGATAAGAAACAGGCATTCCTCCTGATGCATTGACTTTAGTGTCCTAAATTGGGAGGTAAACAAATTTAATATGCTTACCCTAAGCTAAACGAGTCCTAGCTTAAATGAGCAGATTCTCTGTAGAACAACTTCCATCAATGGTTTTGCTAAATTTCAGTTGCCTTAACAAGGGGATCTTTTGTGAGGTTGCTCCTTCTGAGCCTTTATTCAGATCCCCTAACTCATGCTGCAGCCTAAGACCCTCGCCTGTGTGTCAATACGCCCTTCCTTCCTTCTGCAGAGCTTCTGAAGGGTGAAACATTAACTTTGTGACTTCTCTTAAATTGCTCTAGGTATCAAACTGGTTTGGAAATAAGAGAATCCGGTACAAGAAGAACATAGGTAAATTTCAAGAGGAAGCCAATATTTATGCTGCCAAAACGGCGGTCACTGCCACCAACGTGTCAGCCCACGGAAGCCAAGCTAACTCGCCCTCCACCCCCAACTCCGCTGGTTAGTGCTTCCTTTGATTTGGGGGCTCACTCTCCATTTACACTCATTTTCTATGTTGGGTTTTGGTTTTGTTTCTGTTTTTGTTTTATTTCTGTTTCTTTTCTTTTTCTTGTTTAAATGAAGAATTTAATGGTCCCTAACGTTCACTGGTAAAATTTTCAAACAGCACAGGTGAAAAAATCACATTCTAGACAGCTCCACCCTCCCTTCCAGCCATCATCCCCTCCCAAGACCACACTGGGAAATCTCGAACTTATTCCATATCAAGGTGTGATTTTGAAAATTAAGTGAGACTGTGAGAAGCATTTTGCACAAATGAAGGACTCCACAAACATTAGTTGTTATTGCTGTTGAAATTAAAAGCGCACCATGAAGTGGGCCTAATAGTTGATTCACTCATTTCTTTCTTCACGGGTTGTGGTAGAATTTTATTCCTCTTTGCTTCATTAAAATAACCTTCTCCCTAGCATTCTATTTTAAAAACTTTTAAATTCTACAGAAAAGTTGAATCTGTATATGCGTTTGGCTATATTTCACAATTGACAGCTCTCGGGCTCATCCCTAAATCTTCCTCTGTGAGACGCAGCATGACCTGCGGGCATCACGTGAAAGTGGCCGACACCGTGGCCCGAGACCTCTAAAGCACCAGCAGGATCACCCGCGAACAAGATGCTTTCTTACAAAACCAAGAGCACATCACCAGGACCCCAATCCTACGCTGACATGCTGTTAATGTATAATACAGAGGCCGGTTCAGATATACCTAACGGTTCCTAAAATGTCCTTTTAAAATAAGCTTTCGATCCCACTAACTGTGCAGATTGATGGGTTCCAATGAGACATCCCCAACATGCACATATCAGGCTCTGACCCTGTCCACTTGCCCACTGCCCTCCCTCACTCTCTGTCCCCTGACCCCGGCTCCTTCCCCTTCCCCACAGATAGGGGGATGAAAGAACTCTTTAGGTTCTTGGTTTAGGATGGGCTGACTTGTGGATCTAACTGCTCTTTTTGTTGTTGATGCCACTTCGGGGAGTTACTTTCACATGGAAGCAGCAGGGTGCTGTGTGCAGTTGAGTCCGTCTGAGGTTTGCATTGACGTGTGTGCTGGAGACAGATGCACGGTCTGGTCTTGAGGAGACCTTTAAGTCCAGAGATTCCAATAAATAAGATAGACTTGAGGCTTCACCATGGTCCCTTGGGGTTCCATCCTCAGGTCTTTTCAGGGTTCAGCCTTGTCTGTCTTGCTGTCCCCCATGTAGCGCCTGGGCCCTGGCTGGCTTGCTGCTCTGCAGGATGCTCACTCTGTGGCACATTCTGATCTGCAAGTCAGGTTACAGTTATTTCTATACCATGTTTATAGCTATTATCCTTTATTGTTTTATTTTGTTGGTTTTCTTTATGCAAACTGCAAAGAAAATCACCAGTTGCTAATTCAAATTATTCCTATTCCAGTTTCCAAGTTTCAGTGTCACATGCTGTGCTGTGCACTTTATTTTGGTGACTGTGCATAGTGTCACCAATTCCTGAGCTTAGGTATTTCTGAGTGTGCTTCAAGCCATGAGTACTGAATTTCCACGGTGCAAAAAGTCAGTAATGCATAAAACACGACCCTTTTGCTGTGTACTCTGGAAGCATGCTGGTGTCTGTGTGTGAGGGAGGAACAGACTCGGTCTCTTATTAGATGCTTGGTATCAGGTTCTGCCCTTCCCCGTAGTGAACACAATGCATGGATTGGCTGTGAGTCACATCCAATAAGCTGATGACAATAGAATGAGGGTGAATAACAAATTTAAATACACACCACCATGATGTGGTATAAAACCTCCCGTCTAACACTTAGAGGAAGTGGTGTCTTTGACCCAGACCTTGTTTGTCCACTATGATGGGTTCCCTTCCTGCCTGTTGGAGACACCTAGGTCTCCACACAGTAATACCTCCTGTGAGCATCTAGATACGCTATTTTGTCACCACTAGGGTCCCCAGGCCAGTGGCTGTGCCACCACCACCTTCTGTTTAGAAGGAACTGTGTCCAGGAGCCGAGGAGTGCCTGGGCTTTGCAGAAGGCTGTGGAGAGCCTTGGTCCAGCCCTGCAGCCTGGGCCACTGCAAGGAGCATGCTCCAGGCTGGAGAGTTTCCTTCTTCCCTGTCTGGTCAGCTGTCACGCATTTCAGACCCAGCCACACAGGTCGAGCTGCACTGCTGGACAGACATTTTCACTGGACTCTTTGGAAGAAGGCAGTTCTGTCCACATTAGCAAAAATGCACTCAGCACTCTCACAAAGGTTATCACAATGCAAAGCAGACATCAGAACGAGTCTTCCCGGCCCTGATAGATCTGCATCGCAGATGGCTCAGCATGATTTATGACTAGTCCTAGAAGGGCCCTGTGGACTCCCTTCATTACTAAATCCTTAACTATTTGTTCTTTCCAGAAGCCCTTAGAAAAGAGAAAAGTAAGCATTTTAACGCCCTACTCTGTGTTTAAGAATCATGTGGCCTTTCACGGAGTGTCAGTCTGTGATTATAGCTTTCAAAGGAATTTTTCTGGTGGCTTAAAGTTCATGTGACTGTTCTGAGCACAGAGTCAGTTACTGTGGAAAGTCTGAGCTAAGCCTTCCAGTCGTGCCTAGGTTGTTGGTTCTAGTGTGCAGGGGAGCCCCTCACAGGGCTCATTCTAAAGCAGAGACCGAGGAAACCCACTCCCTATGTGCAGTAGCAGGCGGGTGGAGAGATAAATGCCTCCTCAGGAAAAGCGGTCAGCGGGCGTTTCCTTCTGCTCTTAACTCAACCCACACCCCTGCCCAGAAAGACATGAGCAACGCTCCAAGTGGTGGGCAGGTCCATCAGGCCAGGCACTTGCTTCTCGGGCATTTTAAAGGAGAGGTGGCGTGTGATAAGACACCAGGATAGCATGAAGGTAGCGCTCTGCAGCCTAGGGACGCAGGAGCAGGCCTTTGTCCAGAAGCATCACCAGGGTACTCACGCCTCCTGCAGGTAGAGTCCTCCCCGCCCCAGGGCTGCGTGGGGAGCAGCGCTCAGGGCCTCTACATGTCCCTGTTTGCCACCTTCTCTTCAAACTACTTCATCCACGTCACTGAGGAGAGGACCTGGGTGTGGTCAGCAAGGTCTAGGTGATCCGTGTGCTGTAGAGTTCACACAGCAAGAAGGCACAGATGGGCACCTGTTGGAGCAGGTGTAAAGCCCTGGTCCTTCCCTCTTCTGCAGAGACCTAGAGTGCTGTGTTGTGCATTTCCTGTTATCCATGAGGTCATGAAGGCTCGAGTTGAGACCTCCTCAGACATCTAGAGCCCCACCTTGGGAGCAAGAGTGAGACATAATCAAGCCGACACGGAGGGAAGAGGGTGGGGGTGCAGACAACCACACGTCCTCCTGACCCTGGACTCCCCACAACAGCGCTGAGGCCCTGTTTCCCACACAGCCGCTTCACTGAAATCAGTGAGAAATGCTGAGCTGATATTTTGAAGCTCTTTTGAGTTTCTTTAGAGGAAGAGCAGCCCAGTTTCCTTCTGGGTCATTGGTTCTCCACGGGGAGCACATGCGCACCCCAGGAGAGCCGTGTTGTCAGCGCTGTGCAGGGAGCGCCTTCCGGGCTTCCGTGTGCAGAGATGGGAGGCCGCCCCCCCCCCCCCCCCCGTCCCGCAGAGCACACGCCGAACGTCAGCAGTGCCGGGTCCACGGCGCTGCCCTAGCTGTAGGGCTCTGGTTACTATTATTCCTTTTTGTGTGTTTGAATTATGAAGTCAACAAGTTTTTTACTTTGTTGTTGCCATCATTATTTCTTGAACAAACTCAAGTCTCCTAAAGGGTTTTTAGGGAAGAAATGCAACCTTGGGGAAATTGCTTTAGGAAATGGATATTAATGACTCCAGATCATGTGTGTTCCCAAGCAAATGTGTTAGGGTCCTGGGCCACCCACTGTCTGTCCTCCTTGTAGTTGAGGGCTGATATATCTCTCTGTACATGTCCAAATATCTGTGTGGCAGTTTAACTGAGCCACTTGCCTGCATTCCTACACCAAATCCAGAAAGTTCTACCTGACAAGCACATCTTACCATGTGCTCGTATTAATTGCTGATCGCCCCACAGCCTCCTGCAGGTGAGGCTCCCAAAGGATCTCAGCAAACCCGCCCTCCGGCATCAGCCCCATGAGATTCCCACAGCCTCTCCACAAGAGCCCACGCTCTCACTGGGACCGTGTGCCTCTCGGGGGTGATCCACTATGTAACAAGCTCCTTCCAACCCCCAGTGCTGGGCACAGAGGACTTGCCCTCACTCCTAGGTTTCCAGGTGGACTTCTGCCTGGCTGAGGTATTAGCTGCACCCAGCCTCCTCCTTCAATGCAGCTGCTGCCCTAGGTGCTTATCGGAGAGTCGGGAGCCATGATGGTGTTGTGCCCGGCGTTCAGAGACACTGAAGTGCTGAACCAGCACAGCAGAGAGCACTCTGCAATCACGCTCTGACACAGACGCACTCGTACATGGAGGGCATTTATATGCGCATATTTACCTCTGTGCACGTTAGGCAGCCAGGCATATTTACCATGTATCTATGCACATATATTTTTTAGATCATCTGTGACGATTGCGGTGTGTGTCTTGTAAGTGGTGTCTGCTCTGCCTTCAAGGCCCATGGATGCCCTGTCGCTTGGCACAGTGCAGCCCTTTGGGGGCTCCCATCTCTCAGAGTTGTGCTGATTTCCCATAAACCACCAGCCAGGCATACAGCCTGTGTGCTGGTTCTGGGGAGACAAGTGCCCGGCACCCTCAGGGCCAAGGCAGGGCGTCACATCAGCAGCCTTCTGGCTGGGGAGTGAGCAGTCTGGTGGAGTGGTCACAGTTCTGATCTGGGTTCTTGGTTCCAAGTGTGAGCAGGTATAGTGACGATTACTGCAATGGCTTCTATAGTGCGAGCTCCATCTCTGAGGTTACAGACAGACTTCAGGGGAAGTAACTAGAGTCCTAGGTGTTGTATGACTTAACACAAGAGTGGCACCCATGCTGCATGGTGCTTCCTCTCAGGCTGGGGAGGGTACTTGCAAAGGTTTGATCATATTAATGGAAGGAAGTTACACATATGAGCCACACCTGGTCGGACCTTAGGCCTGTTTTACTAAGCCCCAACTTTCTAATTCCTTTTAGATGAGCTAACAAACATGCCAGAGGAGGTGGGACTGGTGCAGAGCTGTGGAGATGCCACAGTTCTGGGGTTGATGCCTGAAGAAAGCATTTCCTCTTCCTTGGGAAAGCAGGAGCTGCCGATACCTAGAGGATCCTTCTAGTAGTAAACAGCTAGTTCCTTGCAGGCAGAACAGTTTGTAAGCCATCTAGTTCCCCTAAGTGGCTCTTGCTGTTGAAGTGTCATGGTGCTGTGGGTGCAAGCAGATGGCCTAGTGGCACAGTTCAGAGCAGAGAGCTTAGTGGTCCTTCTGCAGGGAGAAGCCTCCTGCTTGGCTGCAGCCCTCCTGCGGGCAGTGTGGCTCTGCAGCAGAGCCCAGGGCCAGCCTGGGAGAGGAGGGAGTGCCTGCAGAGCTGAAGCACACACCGTGAGGCACGGGTCCTCAGTGAGGGTGGCTGTCCTAGAGGAGGAGGGCCAGAGCGCAGGGCCCGAGCCCTGGGGTAGCAAGGCAGTGGAGCGTGGCTGACCTGGGTCCCTGGGGTCTCTCCTCTTCAGGCTAACGTGTGTCTTAACCAAACCTTGCACGCTGAGCTTTCTTTCCTAATGTGCTGAGCTGCACAGCAACTTCGGGATAATATTCAGCTTCTGCAAGCCCTTGCGTTGAGCTGAGGTTGGGCGAGGTTTGCCACTCTGCAGCCAGCGGGGTCCAGGGAGTCCAGGATGGACCTAAAGGCCACGTCTTGGAGGAGCCTCCGTCTCTGGGAGGTGGAAACCTGGCCGCTGCCCTTTCTCAAGCCACTCTATGATCATCGATGTCGTCACCTGCAGCGCCTCTGACTTTGTGCATGCTTGACTTCCTGGCCTGTCACCATCTTGCCCTCCTCAGCTCTGGCAGGTTGTGGGGAAGGTAGACCGTCTCCACAGGCTCCTGAGCTCATGATCCTCTGGGGTGCTGGCCACCCCGCGAGGAGCTTGACCTTCCTCCTAGAAGTCAGGAATAACAACAGACCCACCCAGGGCCACAGTGTGACTGCCCCGTGGCCTGTCCTCCCTGGTGCTGCCTGCCATGTGGGTTCTCCACCTGGGCCGCCTGAGGACGTTGGAGGCAGGGGACAGGCTCGCAGCAGGCCGGGTGAGAGGACGGGTCTCCTCTCCCTGCTGGAGGTGGCTGGGAGGTGGCAGCGCTGCTGAGCCCTGAGTGAGGTGTGCTTCCCTAACACCGACCGCGTGCCCGTGTGACCTGCTGTTTCTCCTGCTACTAACCGGGCTCTGGACGCACTTCTGTTTGGTGGTATTTGGGGGCTTTGCATGCCGCTCTCGCTCCTGGCCGTCAGTGCGGGGGCCTTTTCCTGTCTGTCATTCAGGTGCCTCACTCTTTCCTTTCCAGGTTCTTCCAGTTCTTTTAACATGTCAAACTCTGGAGATTTGTTCATGAGCGTGCAGTCACTCAATGGGGATTCTTACCAAGGGGCCCAGGTTGGAGCCAACGTGCAATCACAGGTAGGGACCAGCCACTGTGCCACCAGGTGAATGCGCTAGAGTCCCAGAGCCTAGTCATGCTGGCTCCCTGCGTCTGTCCAGAGAGGGAGGAGAGGAGAGGGGAGAGCCCCGCAGCCCCGCGTGACCACAGCAGTCCAAAGACAACCACCGTGGTGGGACTCTCGCCCACACTTGGTGGATGCGTTGGACTGTGGTTACCAGTCACTCGGGGAGGGCAGGAAGGGAGCGTAGGGACAGGGACAAGTGACCACAGCAGGTCAGACAGAAGGACAGTGTGCTCTTTATTCACCAAAGGCAAAGGAGGAGGACTTCGGTGTCTCCATTTCCAGTCTCCCTCTCATCTGTTGGTCAGTATTCTCCAACATGAGGCGGTCAGTGATGAGTAGGCGAGGACGTTAGCATCTCGCGTTTCCACTGTAAGCTTTAAAAGCACCAAGCCAATCACTTCCTCAGGCACCCTTGAGGTCAGTGGGCTTGCATTTCTGAAGACAGGTCCATGTCAGGAGGCCAGCACCACGTCCTGTGTAGGTCCTCAGAGCTCCTAGGAAGCTGGTCGCCTTCGCAGCTCTCAGGAAGCCCTCTGGTTGTGGCAGGAAGCCTGTGAGAGGGCAGAGGCAGATGCCCAGGTCGGGATGGGCAGATGCCCACGTCGGATGGGGAGTTCTGAACCGGGTGACCCAGGTTCCCATCCCGGTGTGGAGCAGGCCCTGTGCCTGGAACGGACCAGCTGGCCAGCAAGCTGGCCCCTTGCTCAGGACACACAGTGGAGACTGGTGGGAGGTCCTCGGTCCGACGTGGGCCTTCCTGGGTGTCCTCACCACCACGGGGTCACGGGCGGTCTGCTCTCTAAGCTGGCTGCCCAGTCAGAGTGCCGCAGAGTGTGCTCACAGCGGAGCGCAGGGAGGCAGAGCACCCACCCTCCTCTGCCTCCTCTGCCGCCCCTGCCAGCCCGCACAGCACCGAGGGTCGGTCTCGGGCCCCCCTCCTTTCACCGTCTTGCTGTTTTGCTCACTGAACGCAGCCTGGTCAAGGATCTGGCCTTCGGAGAACTGCCCGCCTCCTCCTCACAGACTTACCAAGAGCACGCCCGGAGCCACCGCGCTCCTTGGCGACCTGGGAGAGGACGACGCGCTGGCCCGTGTCTCTGACTAACTTCCTCTGTTGTTCCTCTGTCTAGGTGGATACCCTTCGCCATGTTATCAGCCAGACAGGAGGATACAGTGACGGACTCGCAGCCAGTCAGATGTACAGTCCGCAGGGCATCAGTGTAAGAAAACAAGGTCCCCCCACCCTTTGTTTCCATTCTATCACTACCAATTACTTCAAGGCCACAGGGCCCAGGATGCCACTTAGTAGGACTCGCCTGAGCTCTGCGGTCGCCTCGTTCTTGTGCTGCGTCGGCTGCGCCGTGGGCAGCATCGTACCCACAGAGCGTGGCGGTTGGCGCACGTCATGCAGGCAGCTGGCACGGGGCTGTCAGACACAATCAGTGTTTGCATGACACCTGCGGCCACATGCATCCAGCCGAGAGGAGCTGCTAAACAGGTGACACCCCGCAAAGCTGTGGTAGGAAATGTCACCGGGTGCTGGGGCGGGGACAGGGGAAGAAAACCAGCAGCCAGATCCCCTGTGTCCCGTTCTGTGGCCAAAACAAGAACCCTTCCCAATCTGTCAGTCGACAATTGAAGCAGCCCAGCGCAGAGGCTGGGTGTGTCTGAGGGACGGAGGGCACGGAGCGCCTTCTCCTTGGTCCTGGGTGCACTGGCGGCTGCTGACTAGCATGAAAATTCATAGCGACAAGCTGTGTCGCTCAGAGTGAAATCGATCAGACAGACCAGGGGAGCCCAGTGCAGGGCTGGGACAGCAATCCAACTTGATTTCCCAGATCAGCCGTCCACTGTCTCAGCAGTGGTGACAGCAGGCCAGGACAAGGGCTGCCTGGAGAGGAGGCCGCTCCCAGGTAGGGCGATGAGTGGGCTCCTGGAGGCCACAGGCTGCCACAGGACCACCGGCCCAGAGCTCCTGGGGGACGCGGGGCTCACCGGGTGGGATCCTGCACGCTGCTTGTTTCTGTCGCTCTGCTTACAGCAAATGAGGGGCGGTGGGCGCGGCTTGTTAGCAAGACTGAGCGGCCTGGACTGAGGAGTGATGTCGGCCGCGAGGGCGGCCTGGCCCCTCTGAGTCCGCATCCGTCAAGTCAGAGGCGGCTGCAGCCCATCTGAGGAGTCCCAGAATGCCACCTTCCATGGGCTGAGCTCGTGGGAGAAACCACGACTCTCAGATGTGGCTGGCACATAAGGGTTGACCCTGCTGCCACCCGAGATGGGGGCAGATCTCAAGGGGTAGCAGGGGTTCCCGGAGAACCGCTTCAGAGTAGCGGGTTTCACATCGGCTCATGTCAGAGTTCTCCAAACGGCATTGGCTACCTGAGATCGAGAGTCCCCATCCTTGAGAACTGGAGTGTCACTGGGTAAAGGCTTGGTGAGGACACTGAGGAAGGGGGCCGTCCCCAGACTGAGGCCATCCTGGTGACTCTTCAGGCCACTCATAGTCAGGAAGTCCAGACAGTCCGCTTCCTCAGGCAGTCTACGGTGTCTGTCCATCTTGGGGAGCAGGGAGGTGTCGGCAGCCCCCTTGGACATACGCCACGTTCCGAGGACAGCGCTCCTTCCCCCTTGCCCTAAGCTAGCAATTCTGGGTGTCTTCACTGCTTGACGGCTAGGTGCTGAGGAGCCTGCTTAGCAGCCCTGGAGATGCCACACTGGGGAGGTGTGTCCTTGAAGTGGATTCCAGGCTGAGGTCACAGGGTGCACCTGTGGCTTTCAGCACACATGCCTCTGTATGTCACCAGGATGTGTAAGACAGACTTCACAGAGAGCCAAGCTTTGTGCTTCCGTGGAAGAGGAAGGAGGGCAGATGCAAGCCACAGCACAGTGGGAAGTGGGCGGCCATGCCCACGGAGGCAGGAAACGGCTGGGGGTCCGGGCTGGGGGTCTGGGCTGTGTCTTTCCTCCTGCCCAGCAGCCCTCAGGCTCCACCCACCCTTGACCTTCTGACGTCATCCAGGGGCTGGGAGTCATTGCTGAAGCCCTGTGGCCACACATATGCAGGTGATCGTGTCCGATTACACGAGCTGGCCACAAAAACTGGCTTGAAAATGCCACTTGAAAGACTCTCTTTTGCATTGGTTTTTTTCCCATGAATCATGGTTATTTTATTTCTGGGTCTTCACTATACAAGTAAGTGAATCAAAGGCTGTTCCTGGTCTGAAAGGCTCCTGGAGAGTCCGTCTCAAGTTGTACCTCCTGTAGGAGGCTGAGCCTGCTACAGTGAGTGCATGTTTAGATGGTGGCGTTGGAGGTGAGACGTGCGTGCGCAGAGTAGGGCCGCACAGAGAGAGAGACGGGGGGCATGAAGAGACAAGGACAGGAATGAAAGGTTTGAGCCAAGAAATAAAAATAAAACATTAAAAAGTTAAAAATAAACAGTCCTCAGCCCTCAGCAGTGGTGGGATTTCCTGGCTGTGCCTCCTTGGGTGGAGGACACTTTCTGGGCAGCCTTTACCTGCTGCCCTGGCTAGGTTTCTGCAGCACCATGTCTTCTCCAAGGAGTGTCTGTGTAAGTCCTGAGAGGTGCAGACCTTTGCCTTCGGCCAGCACACAGGCTGACCAGGTGCAGCGTCAAAGGCCCTTGCACGAGACTTGGGAGGCACTGGGTGCCAGCTCCGTGCACACCCGGCATCTGGCCTCGCCCAGCACATGGGACCAGTGGTGCCAGGGACCTGGGGCTGCTGTGGGAAACAAGGGAGCAAGCAGCAGGGTGCGGCAGAGCTCCGTGGGCACCCGTGATGCCGAGCGGCACACGTGGCACCTGCCTCACTCGCCCACCGCATGCCTGTGGAGGCAGGTTCGCAGCAGGAGCAAGACTCGGGGCCACCACCTCTTCCTGGTGTAGAGTCTGAGGCCCACCGACCCCTCCTAAGGGGCTGGGGCGGTGTCACCCCCTGGTGCTAGAGTGCTTGCGGGACAGCGCAGCGCATGCCGTGAAAGAGGGTCCTGGAGGGAGTCCCCTCCCAGCCCTGGACGGACGTGCTCCCACGTTGCCCAACGTCGCCGTCTCCCCGTCTCCTGACACCATCCTGGTGCTCGGGATGGTGCATCAACCAGACGTTGCCACGAGTTCCTAGTCACCGTGGCTGCTGTCTCCTCGTCTCCTTGTCTGTCCGTGCTCAGAAATCATCAGTGGTCCTTAGCGGCTACCTACGCAAGCTCCAGCCCTGGATGCAGCACTGGGGCTCCTCTCAGCTGGCCCCGAGCTGCCTGTCCTTCCACCACGCACCTGTCGTGGTCCCCTGCCTGTGCCAGCCCTCAGATGCCCTTTCCCTCTGCTCGTGCGTGTGTCCCCACGTGCACACATTCACTGCTGACATGTCCCTTGAGTGAAGAGTTGAGTGAACAGGGAGAAGGAAAGATGCTACTGGATTAAAGACGTGTTTTAATGGCCATGACCACATCCAGCATATCAGCCATAACTTACCCGTGAATGTACCGTCTTTTCAACCCAAAAATGGCACTGAGTCTTCCTTTTTTGGAAAAAGTTTTCTAAACTCTTTGGCCCATGTATTTTCTCTGAGAATAAGATCCAAATCAGCCTTAAATATATGCAGTTACAAGGTGATGTTCCTGGGAGAACTCTCTTTTAGTTCCTCCAACTCTTCCCGTCCTGCGGGAACACCTGTCTGTGGGGCGGCCTTGCTCCCCTGGGCTCCCAGGTCTCCTTCCCGGCGGTGGCTCTACAGCCTCTGAGGACAGCCTGGGAGAAGGTGATGTGACTGGGGATTAGAAAGCCAGGACCTTCTGTGGTCTTTCACCTGGTGCCACTTCATCTGTAAGGTGTTCCAGACAAGCCGTCTTGAGAGTCCTCTCGGCTGGGTCCTTGTGGGCTCTGTGGGCACCCTCAGGGTTCTCACTGCAGCTCGAGCAACACGGAAGGACCTTCCAGCCACCAGCCTCCCCTCGAACCGTCTTGAAGACCTAGGAGGGACGTAGCAGGAGCCGTCACCCCAAGAGCTCGTCCCTGATGCTCAGAGGTGGCGGGGCACTGCCCTCCAGGGCAAGGCGATTTACGTGGTTCTAAACTGGGGACTGAGGGACTGAGTTCCCTGCAGCCGTCTTAAGTGCAGAGGCCCCAGAGATCTGGCTGTTGAAGAGTTTGGAGACAATGGAAATGAATGTCAGTGTTATCTCCGTAAAGCAAAGCATGCCATTAGTGTCAATGTGTGACAGGAAAAGCTCACCGGTTTGCTCTGTGATAATTATCGTAGTAGAAGAACAGAGCCCAAGCTCTTATCTTTGCAAACCGTAATATAGACGATTCTGTTTGTTTTTCTTTTTTCCCATGTTAGGTGAAGGGGAGAAAGAACATTCACTGAGACAATAAATACTATATAGACCATCAGGACAAAACACCCACCTGTCAGCGAACACACTTGGGCACTTGCACATCCTGGGGTACCTGGTGGCACTGGGCCGTGTGCTGTCCTTTTAGGTTCTTGAGGGACCTCCTCCCACCTGCAGCTTAGATTGAGAAGATGCTGCCGCTGGGGAGACCACAAGAGGGGAGTGAGGTGGTACCTCAGGTCCTCGTGGGCACCCTTAAGCTGCCCCTGGAGGTCCACGGAGTCGGAGCTCCTGTGTCTCAGCAAACTGAATCAGCATTCGGAAAGGATTAAGGAGACCCACAGGCCCTCCCCAGTGCGTTGCCTCCGATGCCTCCTGGTCACAGGGCCAGGGAAGAGCCGCAGGCTGGGGACAGAGCCTGCAGGTAGCTGAGTGCTCTGCACCTGGTGGACAGGACTCAGAGGGTTGAGGGCAGAGCAACAACGAGACAGCAGCTTGGGCCCCTTGTGCCGAACCCTTTGCTTCTTATGTTAGAAGAGCTTCCAGAAGAGTTGGAAGTCCTTCAACTCCTGCATCTGACACCAGAAGAGCACATCTTTCCTCCCACGGCAAATAGAAGCAGCAAAAGGACCCCAGTGTTGTGACTTCAAGTGCAATCCTTCAGTTGTCCCCAGCTGCCACGTGAAGCCCTTAAAGGTACAGAAGACAAACACAGCTAGGACACTGGACTCACGGTGGCGTTCAGTGAGCACAGGCTTCTGACCGGAAGCATGAGGCCAGCTCCTGTTCTGTCCACCTCCGGTTATGGAACTCAAGACCTGAGACGATGAAGTCCCTGCTGCTGTTGGGGACAGTTTTCCCTGTTGGT